TTATGGGAAATGAAATTATGTCATGGAAACACACACACGAACAAAAGCTCACAGAGATATGAACACGCGCAAGCATGTGGGACATGTGTTTTTAGCCAATGTCAATCTGCATAAGTACTCTAAATATGACGGGAGCATTACCGGTGTCATTGTATCTGCTCTCTACATGAGGTCTAATCCTCACATCTGATTCAGTGGAAATGAAGATGGCGGGTTATTAACAGAAGCACTTTGACCACTAATACTCTCAGCAGGTTGAATCAGGCTATAGAGATCAAGCTACAAAGGCCTTCATTCAGAGAGTCAGAGCCAAAAGTTAAAATTAAGGTTTAAGTGAGGCAAAGAAGAAAGATTAGGCTAAATGAGAGAATGAGCTGAATGTAAACCAGAGGAGTGTGCACCTTACCCGTAGCAGGGACTGGGACTCCTCTTTAGCAGCACCTCCTTTTGCCTCCTGTCCTCCTCCACCTCCACTCCCTCCTCCTCCTCCTCCTCCTCCGGTATACTGCTGAGGGGGCATCTGCATCTGTTTCTCTCCCCCACCTCCACCTGCATTGGCTCCTCCTGGTCTCCCTCCTCCGTACAGCTTGGCATCTCCCAAAAACGACTTGGTATCTCCCAAAAATGACTTGGTGTCTCCCAGGTAAACCATGCTAGGTGAAGCCATGCCTCTTTTCTGCTGTGAGGCCTCATGATTGGCTGAAACAAACGACAATGAGAGGGGGGAGGAGAAAAGAGAGGGGCTTCCACCTCCTGTTCCTCTTTCTACTCCTCTTTCGGGTCCCATTCGCTCCTTGGGCACCCAAAGTAAACCGTGGGCCTGCTCACTTCCTCTTTCTCCTAGTCCTCTTGTCTCGCCAAGAACCCAGCCTTTCTCCCGCTCTCTTTCTTTCTCCTCAGCTCCCTCACTTTTTACTACCCCTCCTGCCTCTTCTCTGCCTCCCTCTGCTAACCGTCCCTCAGGCGGAGCAAGGGAGTAGAGGAGGCGAAGATCCCCCTTGCTTTCTTCTTTAATGGCTAAGGTAGAAGGAGCTGAGCAGCCATTGGCTGAGAGTGTTAATGAAGGCGTCAGGGAGGTCGTCAGTGAGGTGGGTAAGGAGGTTGTTGTCAGTGAGCTTAATGAGGGAGAGGATTCATGACAGTGGGCCGAGTTAAAATGGTCGAGGAGGGCTGACGAATCAGGAGCCGTGAAGTCACAGCGTCGACAACGGCAACACGCGTGGACACGCCTGCAGAGAGAAGGAAAATCAGTGAATGAATTATCCACAATTAACACATTTTTAAAATATAATAGTTCTTAATATTATTAAGAAATACATATGATTACTTTCATTTTGCATTAGGAATGGTAAGCTCAATTATACCATAATACTGCTTAAGTATTCATAGGTTTGCAATACCCAAACTTGACCTCTTGAAAAATAGATTTTGTCATTAAGGGTTATCTGTAACAATGAGTCACACTAAAGAACAGTCACAGTAATGAGACCAAACATAACAATTAAGATTTAAGTATCGGTTTTCATTTTAAAAGTCAATTCATCTTGAATTTCATCAATTTGAAATGTAAAACGCATTCCTTTCTTATAGCTTTTAATGGGCTGTATATGACAAGCATTTAAAGAAAATTGAAGAAACTCCCCGAATTGACTAAATTTAAAGTGCACTTGTCCCTGCTTGATTTTCTCCAACCACTCAGGTAGAGTTTCACCGAGTCTGTGGCCAAAAAGTTACTCAGTGTTCCACTAAATCACACTGAATTAGGACAAAACTGTGAGGAATGTAAATGAATCTGAATGACAAGAAATGAATCACCCATCAACAAACCACCTTCATTTCCTGTTGGCAAGGCCCTGAATGACCAGCAATATACACGATACACAACATCAGGGTTTTTCCTGGCTCCGAAAACAGTTTCGGTGCTTCTTGTGCAGGCCAATGAGCAAAATCAATCAACCATCTATACCAAGAACTTGGACTCCTGTTTGTGGTGGCTCATGGTGGACCCACTGTGGGCAGCTGTCAAAATATACATAAATCAATGTACTGTAGGAATCTGTCTGTCTGTCTGTACTGAGATGGTCATATTATATATAATATATATTATATATATTGATTGATTATGTTGGAAAGTAAACTTTTTCCTCTTGAAAGACTAACATCTTAACAATTCCGACCTGTCCTTCAAAAGGTCTGTAACTGTGACTCAAAATAGGAATAACATTTTTCTATTTATTATAAAACCCTGCAATGGGAGTGTTTTATAACACTGGACTAAAAGCATGAAAAAAAGTTATTGAAAACATATAAAAACTATCAAATTGTCATGTTTCTGTTACAGCATCTCTCATGCGTGTGGAACCCGCCACAGTTCCACATAAACTACAAAACAAAAATACATATACATATAAAAGACTGAGCAGCGCACACACAGATGGAAACCCACACAAATAGTAAGGATACAACCAGAAATATAACTTTTTTAAGAACATACACTCTCTCTCTTATTTGTCATTCATTTGATATGTTTTTTGCATGACTGACCGGGAGTGAAATGGTAATGACATGTAGGTTGAAATAAATAAAATACTATGTAAATAAATAAAAATAAATAAATATAGTGCAGATTTGTGACTGTGTCCGTCTCCCTCACTTGTTCTCCATCTCTTTTTCTCTGCATATATTATTTGGTTCTGTCTGTCTATTGAACTTTATTAGTTGATGAAGAAAATAAATGCCTTGGGTAAAGACAGATTCCAGATGGGGCTTTAAACGGCATCTTGAGGAGTTCAGAATGATCTAGCTATTTGTAGAAATTTGCAAAAAAAATGTGTGTGAGCAAAGTACACCTTGTACCTAGTGGACTTAAATGTCTCCAGATGCTGAACAAAGACACAGTGGCCTCTCTGTTTGTCATCACCATACACACCACACATGCATGCATGCATGCATGCACACATGGACTGTTGCACTTACTGACTCATTTACTTACATCCTTGCTGGGCCACTGTTTCTCTCTCTCACACACACATACACGTTCATGATAAATTAAGTTTAAATCATTCATTTTACAAATGAACTATTCTGATCCACATTTACACCGAACACTGTCTACAACCACATCCATCTCACATATACTGAATTAAATGTTCCCATGGAAAGTAAGAACGGGGACGTTATATTTAGTATGGATGCATAAGAAAATATCAAACCAGTCCGAATACAAGGGGGTTTTATGAGGTGTAAATGTTTCTTGGGTTCTTTGTAAACTAAAAATGTATTTGTCTGATTTTATTTCTTTGAGAATATTAAGCTGGCATCACAAAAGTATGGAAACTCACTGCATAATTTTGCCCTTGGAGGTTTTTATTTGTAAAGCAAAAAAGGAGAAATTTGGAGTTTTTTGGTTTTTAAAAGTTCTTTTAAGAATCTAAACTAATCAACTTAAGAAATGTGCTCTACAGAAGCACACATCCTTGTTAATATAGCTCACTGCAGCTTACAAGTTTGGTTGGCTTCCTCTGTTGGGATGAGAGACTTTTAATCTGTGACTGGTCTCAAGAAAGCCCATTTAAATGCATTGGATATGTCAATCAAGTCTTACCCCAAAGTCCCTCAAATAACAAGTCTGTGTTTGGGGTCACAACCCCTACATGCTCTGAGGTCAGTACACACCTGCACATAATGAAGTCTACAGACACAGACACACAGAGACACACACAGACACACACACACTCAACAAATGTTACTAATTATAGTCGGAAGAGTATTTCTGCAATACCAAATGTTTGAGAATGAGCTTTAAACATATGTTTAGTATTTGTGATAAAATGTCTGCTATTCTGTTTGTGCAAGAAAACGTACATTTTGCAGCTTATTTTGAAGCTTTAACATAAATTACCAAAAAATACTGACATTGTAATTATATAATTCAATCTCAGCTTTCACAACAAAGGCATATGTTAGTAAGCTCTTGCTGGTGTACGTCTGTGCCTCATAAATGTCACAACCTCAGTGAGGGTGTTTAGATGTAAAAGTTATAAGGGAGATTGATTAGTTTGTTCCTCCCCAACACCATGGCCCTTTGTTCTGAGCACCCTATAATTAAATCCTGAATTTTGTTTTTTACAACTTGGCATCGGAATCCTTTAAGGTTTGGTTGATTTTAGTGGTGGTGTGAAACTTTCTGGCTTTATTTCAGTTTTATTTGATTTGAGCTCTGAGATTTAGAGCTTAGATTTTGTTAAGGACGTGAGTGGACTGTTAAATCCCCTCCAAACTATCTTTCTTTCTCTCTCTCTCTCTCTCTCTCGCTTTGTCACCCTATCTCCCCCTTCTCTCCACTTTCCTCTCTGCCTTTCTCTAAGTGTCTCTCTGTTAATATTCTTTCATTCTCCTTCTATCATACAATCTCTACTTTCTCTTTCTACCTTTTATTTCCTATCTGTCACTTCATCTCTTCTCTTTCTCCTCGCTTTCTTTATCTCTCCCTCTTCTTCTCTCTGCTCTTACTCTCAAAATGAATCACACTTTTTAATCTTTCATTGATTTGTAGCGGAAATCTCGCTAAAATGGCTCTGTTAGACTGTGTGCAAGAAAACAAGAAAAACTTGTGTACTATGTGAGTTGGTTCGTGAGCGTATATCAAGAGAGAATCCAGATCTGCAATATAGATCACTGCTTAAATAGCCACGAAGATTTCAAACAACTGTCTTCAGTTCTGTGTATCTCTCTCAGTCTCTCTGTCTTCAGCCACAACTTTCCCACACCACCCCTCTCTCTCTCTTTCCCACCCTAACTTACTCTAGCTTTCTCTGTTATTTGCTGGCGAAGTCTCTGAAAACCCAGTGAGTGTGTGTATGTGTGTGTATGTGTGTGTCTCTGTCTGTCTGTCTGTCTGTCTGTGTTTGTGTAGGCAACCAATTGGCTGTGGAGTCTAGTCTGACCTATCCAGCCTTTTAGATGTCTGTAAAACCGAGCTTATGGCTTATTTAGCAGGTAAACACATACACACACTGTACACAGACGTTTGTATGCGCAAAGAAAAAAGTAATTTTTACTCATATGAAAGACTCATGTGAAAAAGAAAAAAGTTAACAATAATCTTAAGACAAACTCTGCAAGTCTTTGGTTCTATATTGACAGGCTGATCCTCCTCTCCGGAGAAAGCTGCCCCGGGGAGGATAGAAAATACTAGTAGTAATTAGAATTACAGGGGAACTCCACACCGATTTTACACATCAAAGTCTGTTTACAGGTCTTGGGGAGTACAAATGCATATGTGAAAAACTTGTATAAAGCCTTTTGTTGCTCCAGAGGGGAGCTGCACAAAATCAAATTGCATCGGTTGGGGAAAACTGAAAACTACAAAACTGAAAATTTAAAAAAAAACACAGCGGAGTGGAGAAAGAAGGGAGCTTACCAGATCTTTGTAGCACAATCCTCATCTATGCTCAAGGCCAGCAGCTTGAGACAACATCAGCTGCTACTAGTACTAGAATCTCTGGACTGCACATTGCATTGTGGGTAATTTAGGTGCCCAGTTTTGACAAGGACGAAGAATGAGTGGGATAAGAAAGATGATATATCTTTTTCTGCTCCATCAATTCAATCATCAATCTAAAAAAACAACTTGAGTCCAACAACATTAATGTAGGAATGCAATAATTAATCGGTGGAGTACTTTTTCATAGGCCTTGTAATTAGAGTAGATTCACAATATGGCAACATATAACAATGTATTTAAATAGAGTAGTTTCACAGGACAGCAATAGCTTAAAAAGGTAGTGGTGGAAAGCCCAGTGCTGTAGTTTAAATCTTCTAAAGGCTGTCAACAAAACCAGATTCTCACAGTTTCATGTGTCGGAGTTGATGCCAAGATTAGATTAAGTCCTTGATAACTCAGCAGGTCAGGGGACCTGGTGCTGATCATGTAGTGCAAGAGGAATTAAAAGGCACATGTTTATCACTTTGAAAGTGCCAGTAGAGAGATTGAGGAACTGAACTAATATGTATCTGGACATAAGGTAAGTAGATATCAATGAAGCTCATAACCCAGTTAGGACTTCTGGCATTTTACCTACTTCCAAGGTGTATGGAAATGGGTGAGTCAGTGTGTGGGATTTAGTGGCATCTAGCAGTAAAGTTGCAGACTTGCAGTGACACTCCTATTCAAAGACTACAAATCTGTGAATATCAGTGAGGTCTGAGTCGCTTCTCTAAACGGTGTCTATGAGTGTCTGATTTTTTTTTAATGGGTTGCTGCTGAAAATTTCTTGGATAATTGGGAAAAAGGGAATAATTGGACTTCCCAGCACGAGAAATGCTTTATCATCTTTCCAACTTAAAAAGGAATTTTGGTTTTGGTTTTTACTCACTCTCATCCAGTTACTAAAACATTTAGTCATAAGCATTAACTGGAATATTTTTGATGTTGCACAATGAACAAATGAGTGAATCACACAGAATAAGCAGTTCTAGCAAAGGTGGCCAAGTTAATGAGAGGATGTTTTTCAGTCACCTTTCATTGATATCATCATATTACATCCTATTATCTTAATTCCTTCAATCTTTTTAATACCCTTTCATATCTAGGAATCCTGGTGAAAAAAAGACTGTATTACAAGGAATAATCTAATAATGACAATCAACAGTATTTAATTACTGTTATCTAATCCCATCTCTTTCTTACCTGTAGTGTCTAAAAATCTCTTCTTCCACTTCCGTGATGAAGTGACATTTTGTACAAGAGTACTCCCTCTCTCCTCCTCCTCTCCCCCCTTCCTTGTCTCCTCCAATTTCTTCCTCAGCCTTGACATGTGGTGGTGCCCCCTTTAGGTTAATCAGGGTGTGGCAGCTTTCGTAGTGTTGGAGTAACACATCGATGTCGGTGGTGGCAAACGCACATTGGTCACACAAGTGGGTGACGCCTGGAATCAGAAAAAACAGGATGAGTCAGGAGCAAGAAACAAAGAAAAGATCGTGTTAAATTTACTGACATACCGAAAAAGTTTAAAATATTCTGACAAAATATGCTAGATGAAGTATGCATTAGAATACCTTGTGTGACAACAGGATGGGCAGGGTTCGAGGGGTAGAAATTCACACCGGGGTCACCTCTAGGATTAGGAGGGGTCATGCTGGGTGAGGTGGCGATAGTAGGTTTCGAACCGACGGTGTCCTGCTGTTTGGTGGACGGAGGAAACTTGGAACAGCATTTCGGGCAGGTGGGCTTCCGACAAGCAAAGGGGTGAGACACCTATTGAGAAAAATCACACAAGGTTTGGTGAAGAGTAGCATGGATGTCTGCATGACTACTGACAAAACTGTGCATAGACAGTGAATTTAGACTTTAAGAGTTTGTTTTCTTCTCTTGTTTCTCTCACGTTGGTGATGTAATTGTGTTTTTGTCCATGCAGGTGATATCAAAGGCTACCAGTATGAATGTACATCATTAACTGAATGATGCCACCCCCAATTTTGGCTGTTAACCATCCTTTTTGCATGTTAAACAGCTGCAACGGCACCATTTGGCAGCTGGCACAAAGGAGAGTGGGGAGTGTGCGTGGGTGGAATGGGGGAAGCAAGGGAATTTTAACTAGGCTGGAAATTGGAACAATTAACTTTACACTTGTTCATATATTACATTTTATTTTCTTGTGCTTACAAAACAGCTATTTTTTTTTCCTTCTAATTGCTAAGCAAACACCACAACACCAAGCAAATAAACATTTCAATATTTTATCAATCTCACCTCCCCCAGGTGTTTATGCGGCTGACAGAGCCCCTGTGGACAATACATGCAGTGCTGAATGCAGCATCGATGGATGGAGTGGTTGTGCTGGTAGTGCAGCAGTAATGGTGCTACTACGATCACATCTGCGCTGTGGGCCATTGAGTACCGGAAATCACACAACTGACAGTTATAACTGGTCACAACTGCTTCTGAATCACTGCTGTTTGGGTCTCCTAGGAAGCAGAAAACAGAGCAAAGGTCTGTTAAATAAAACAGTTTGGGTCTTGGAGTAGAAAAACAAGGGCATGTCAGAAAACTGACATAGAGGGTCAAGTAGCATTAAAGCGATACAATTGATGAAAAAAAGAAAAGGTCAAGCAGTATTGCAGGACTTATAACAGCAAATAAATAAAGGGCAGCAGTGTGAGAGTTTCTAGGAAGAGCAAAGTCAAGCAGTATCACAGCACAACGAGAACACTCATTAGATGGCTATTAATTTAATACGCTTGATCATTAATCGTTTGCTCCACTGAAGTAGCTACCTTCTCTTGAAAAACATGTAAAGCAATTCACCACCACATATCACCATGCGTTCCCATTTAATTACCTTGGCTGGTGCTGGACGGGTTGGATGATACATCTTTGCGGCTTTTGGATGCCATGTGGTCTCTTTCTCCTCCTTCTCTTCTGCCTCCTCTCTCCCTCTCTCTGTCCATCACCCCAGGATTAGAGTTGTTGGGGCTCATAGAACCTCCCGTGCTCATTCTATGTCTTTGTTCATAGTGCTCTAAAAGCTTAGCCGAGCCCCCTGACCACTCACAACTCCAGCTACAGAATTTACACCAATAATACGCCTGCACGGCACCTCGACCCGGCTCCCCTGTCCAGCTCGACGTATCTGAACACGCCCTGACTGGGATTGAGTACCCGACCAAGGAATCATCTTCCGCCCTCACCGCGACTCGATCCGCCCCGTCTAAGATTTGACTCCTTTCCTTTGTCTGGTTGTCATGCGTTGCCAGGTTATTGGTGGCCAGCAGTGGCGTGGTTGGCGGAGTTTTCACTTTATTTGGATGTGAGGACAGGAAGTGTTGTTCAAGTTCTAAGGAATTACTGCCCATGTACGTGAAGTTGCAGAATTTGCAGCGAAAGTACTTAGTATTCCCTTGGCAATCAGAGGTCTTGCGGCCAATCCCAATTAACGTGCCACCCAGCGTCACCTGTGGACACGCAGAAAAGAGAGAAAACGGCAAAAAAAAGATTTAGTTACATCAAGATTAAAATTCAATTTCTGTATATCATACAGTCATTCATGTGGTGCTTGCAGCTTGGCTGGTCTTTGCTTAGTGCTACAAAAAAGGTAGAGTTTCCAACAGCTGGTTCCATTTGGATCCATTTCCTTGGTGTCAAAATATGTTTATCTCTCAAACATTTTATCTCACAAAGCAAAGAGCAATGTTGAAGACAGCTCTTTTGCTGGTTTAAATGACAAACATCAACAGTGGCAGCTGTATTTAATTATTGTACAACTGTAACAGTTAAAATTCAACTTTTGGCTGTTGTCTGGTTAATTTGCTCTCTGCAATCTGATCATTTGTAATACTTGAAAGATGAACCTACAAACAATTATTAGACAGTAGATAACAGTTATCCATTAGATACATTATACATTAGGGTTGGATCACAAGTGTAAAAAATTGGGTGCACTACACCTAATATATGGTGTCCTTGAAGTTCATAAACAAAAATAAAACATTCTTCACTGTCATTGCTATGCAGCAGATATTTGAGGGACACCTGACAAGAACAGAGCTATGCTCCTACCAATATGGAAAATTATGTCTCAGCCTCTCTTAAACGTAATCCATAATTTTCTGTATGTAACTGTAGACAATTAACAGGCTGCTGAAACTCTAACTGACCAACAACATATCTACCAGTCTCTGCTGTTGAATCCAATGTACGAGGCCAAGATTTTGCATTACTAAGCGAGCAACCTGACACTCATATGTTTTTTATTAGGTTAGTCCCTCGACTGTAGGTGATTATAGTGTGCTGTTGGCTATACTGGTGAGCAGGCAACCTGGCAAGTCTTACAGTGACATTAGACTTACTACTGTACAATATGGATTTCTCTCTTTATGGATATGTGGTCTGATGCCGACAGTTGGCAGTTGCAATGGAGATTTGGCAAGAAGAAAATGCATTCGCATTGCATTTTAAGTGAGCAAAGATGCACACTTTAATTTTTTTTTATATATATAT